TTCAACTGTTTTCCTTTTGATTTGCAGAAAACGTCTTTGCACAGTTTTAATATGAATAAAGCATTTATAGCAATGTTGCCTTAACTCCCTAAAAGTTTATCCAAGGGTACCTGTAACTGAAAAAGAGGCCTTTCCCGACTTGTTGGAAGAAAAAAAGTTAATGGCTGGAATTCGCATCCTTGATACATTTTCTTTTGTTCATTTATCCCCGACTCGAACTTTGTTATTTCATTGTAACAAATTCAATTCACGTCTTTGTGCATAAATGGGAGTGAAACGCGCTCGATACTTACACACAGAGACACCAGCAGTACACCGAATTGTTCTCGATTTTCTCATAGTTCCTCAAGTTTTCCTCTCAGATTAGATAAGTTCTACATACGGCCTTATTCTCGCTTCGATCGATAACATCTGTTTGGCATAAAAAATCAGGCTAAAGTTCGGCGCCATATATACTGATCACACTAAAGCTTGCCCTGAGCAACAGACAGAGAAATCTTTAACATCAGAGAATGAAACATAAAAGTTCTGTTGCAGCCGCTTACATCAGTTACTTATTTCTTGGACTCTCTTCAGGCAAAACGTCAATCTTCCTCCAAAAATAATCTGCAGTTCTATTGCAAACGAAAATGTTTTTTCCTGTTTCGGTTCAAAGATAGCACACGCTAGCATAGGTTTCCTCACACGTACATAAACATAAATATTTTGAAAGGAGCTAATGTTTTGATGTCACATTTCGTAGGCTTACTTTTAACTTCATGCACACGCAAACGGACGGCCAGCTATACTATCTAGAAAAAAAAATATGTAGCATTCAAACGATACAGAACGCGCTTACCTGTGTGACTGAAACTCAGACGAAAATGCCGTGCTTCTCCAAGGTTGGGGAAATGCCAAACCGCCGATGATCGGTCATTAAAGTGGTGTTGTTCGAGGGTGAAAAACTATCCTCCCCTAACATATGCTTAGGTGAAAGGTCAAACCGCGACGAGTGAGCGAATCTTTGGTTTCAATAGAAAGAGATCATTCCTTATTTTGTAGTTGTCTAAAGATGACATTTTAAGCTCATATTTAACCACATTTTAATTTTTAAAAACAGTGTTGACATTTTGCTGAAACATCAATGCGCGAGTTTTGCAAGTTACTTCTATATTTGGGTGAACGTCAAGTTTAAGACACACAGTTGACGTAATATTTTGACATTTAGAGTACTAAATTCCGGATGCTTTGTTGAGCTTAAACACCTCTATCCAAGTTAAGTGAACCCAAAATCAGCTTTTCTTTAAATATCATGCATCTCTCAGCGTCTTTGGTATGAAAACAAGATTATCAAACAACAATTACACTGCGCTGTTGAAGTTGGGATTTCGTGCGGTGAAATTTGTAGAATCACGCTGAAATTATCGCCAAAATACACAACTTCGTCTCTCCAAGTGCATAACTGAAAGAGACGAGACGCGAACAAAGGAACCAATTGTTACAAAAATGGAAGCGATCCAAATCGTTTGATACTAAGAAATGCGGTTAATTTTAAATGAGCTAAGCTAGTTTTAACATGATATTTCACCAGCAGGACCAAAGCATACCTTGGCAGTACATTCCCAGTTAACAACAGCGAAGGACAAATCCGAGAAAAGGTTTGAAAACTGAGAGTGTACAAAATTACTCCCGCTCTCATTTCAGATCTTAACTACACAAAAATAGTAAAATAAGGAAATTTTTCTCTTATGGACTTTGTCCTTAAAGGCGATAAGCAGTCCTGATGTGGCTTTGAAGTGACAGCAGTAGTCAATAGTCTAACGATGAAGTTGGCGATCTGAAATTCTCCTAGTTGAAAAAGTAGATAATAAAAACACGTGCCCATGAAATTTGCCTGTGACAATTGGTCGCATCAGATGACCTACAAAATATATTTTTCCTTTTCGTACAAGTAATTGAAAAGCAAAATCAGTAATATGAAACTAAGCTTAAACTCATTTCAAAACACTCATGACTGGCTAAAGACACAAAACGATCATAAACATTGGCAAGGAATATGGTCGTGAAAGATTGGCCTCGAATGGAATTGGTCAAATGATACGCTTTTTCCTTCGCAAGACTTCGAGGATTGATTAGTTTCGTTCAATAATCGCTTGATTCATATTTACGTTGATCGTCACTTTAAAAAACGGTGTTATCTGAGGGGGGATTGTGATCTACTTCTGCAAATCACTTAGTCTTGTTACGCAATACAAACGATGCAAACAAAGTAGATTCCTTTTCCAACTTGACGCAGAGCCGGTTGCTGAAATACTGATGAGGTGCGACTGGTGAGTCGGAAGCTATTTTTTTAACCATTTCGGTCAAAGCGTGAGGCAATTTCAGATATTACGCGATTTTTCACTAATTTGACTAACTGTTGACATCACGTGCCACTTTCGCTTCACCGCTCACGTTATCTTTCACGTTTCTATGTGCAAACCTTTTCTTATCACCGCTGCTCAGGACGAACCAAGGCTCCGAATCGAAAAAAAGCCATTCGTATCCCCCTTGACTTTTGAGTCGCCATGTCAAAGAACAAAAAAAAAAATCCCTTAGTTATATTTGGTCTGTAAATATTGCCAGTCTAAGACAAAAAATTAATAAAACATAGAAAATACATACATTTGCAGCGTCGGGGGTCTTAAAAACGTGCTTTAAACAACAAGAAATTACATCCTCTCAAATTATATAGTTCAGTTCTTAAACTTGGTTACTGCGGTACGCTTCTCAATTGTGCCTGCCTTTCATAAGGCCGCTGTTATCCAGAACTAAAACATGAAATGTATTTTCGACTTGGATAGCCAGAATTTCTACATTACTTGCAGTATTTCAACTTTTTGAAAACAACTCGCGTCGACGTAGCGACTTCCGAGTGCGGTAATTCAACCCCCAAGTAGCAGCTTCCGAAACGCGCTTTCTTCTACAAAAGAAAAAAGCTGAGAACGATTCAATTAGGACTTTCAACGCACGAATAGCCTTTTATTGACAACAGCAGTTCTGATGAAACATGATGGTCCTCTAACGACGGTCCTCGCACCCCTTTCTTTAATTGTTCGGTCAAGTGCTTGCGATTTATAAAATAAATGCTGTGTTCAGAAAAAGAAGTTAGTAATGTGAAGTTTTAAATGGTACACCCATTGGTTAAATCACAATATTTCATTTGAGGCGACACAAGCTCAGGGACAAAAATGGTTGTTATCTTCCTGCACATTTTCCATAGGAAAGTGTTTAAAAAGATGACTTTTAACAGTGTCGTTTTTACATCTAGAACTTACAATTTCCACTAACAAATTCACTTCTGGCCGTGAGTGAACTAGGCTGGAAAAAGTTAGATTTTGAAGTACTGAACTCATCATGGTCTCATTCGAAAACCAGATGTGGAATTGATAACTCGGGATCCTTACCTTTCTTTACAGCGTTTATTTCAACATTTTTCTAAAATGCCAACGATTCAATTATCAGAGTAACCAGATACAGTGTTCATTTGGGTGTATTTCGGGTCGAGTATGGCGCCAACCCTTTTCTTCCTAAAGACCAAATTCCCACATTTAAATCATCCTAATGAAGGAATATATTATGAAGATATGTTCTTTTATCGTCCGATTTATAAAAAATGGATTTAGGTTACGGGCAGTTTTTTTTCTAAATCAAGTTCTCAAGTTTGTTTTTCTCCTCCTCTAGCATTGAAAGAGACGCTAGTAAACAAGGTTCAATTCGATAAACCTTTACGTCCGTAAAGCAGAAGTCGTGTGAATTTCTTCAATTATTTCATCGTATGCTATGTAAGACATTCAGCGGTGTTCAGTTTGCCGATTCACCACCGCAAGGATTGTATGACAAATCCGACCGGAATTCAAGCTAGCAAGTTGTTCCGTTACTCGAGCACGTTTTGTGAATCCAAATAACTTGATTTTTTGAAATTGTTTTTGTAACTGCTTTGAATGATTTCCTTTTCGATTTTTGTTTTCCTATTACAGAAAAGGCGGGAAAAAATTCACTGGTGCATTTGATGCCATCGACGTGACCCAACAGAGTACACGTGTTGAGAAGGGTTACTGAGGTATTCGCATGTGCGCATGGCCAGTTGATGCTTTCACCACTTACCTCTACAACTGACAGGCACTTAGTTTATCAAATAAATAGGTGAAAATTGGATTTTAGAAGAGAGTTGAGGAGCACCTAAAGTACTCAGTATTAATTTTTGGAGAGTCGCGCGGGACGCTTGCGTGACATTTTTAGTGCCATACGTGACATTTAGCGTGACCTTAGCCTCCTGTTTAGTTATTGCTCTCAAGTAGTTGACTATGTGCGAGGTGATAAGGGGACAAATTCTTGAACAGATGTGCCTATTTTTGTTTTCCATCAACAAATATAACACGTTGATGAAAAGAAACGCATTGGTATGTATATTGTGTTGTCATTATTTGCCGAACGTGCTCAGTTGTTTATGAAAAACTGAAAAAACTTCGTCGGATCATTCTGCCAAGACTCTAAGCATGTCCAGTTTCACAATAAAAATGACATTTTGTAGATGAACAGTGATTGAAATGAGGCTAATTATAGCTCCAACAATTAACACAAAATCACGAGCAGATGATCTTTGTTATATAAAAACTAATAAATCGAACATTGCGCACTAACAGCTTAGTCAAAAACACGGTGGAAAGCTTTGATGAAAACAATCGGAAGTCAACCATAATGTCAAAAACAGAAATCGGCCGTTTACAAAAGCAAAATTCCTTGTTCGCATTTGCATTGATAACAAATATTGCATGAACAATAACCTCATCGTCAGGTTGTCAAAATGCTTCCATTCCATTGTCTCAGTTCATGAATGGAACAATATAGCTTGTCGCAGGCAGTCTGAAGAAGTTCGTCGTGTTTCCTACGGTGTTCGGATGAGTTTACGAAGTATTCTATTATACTTACGTGAAAAAAAGCCATGAATGCAATCCCCAGATTAAATGTCGACAACTTACCTCTCCGTCTTCACTGTCCTAAAGCGCTTCAAGTCGTAGGGTTTCGTACCCGTGGCTGCTGTTAGTAGTTTAACCCTTCGCCAATAATCCTGTCTTCCTTTATATTCGCTTTACAGGAATTTGCTTGGGTCTCAATACTTTGGCAGCTTTTACAACCGAGTCAAGCTACGGGAGTGATCTGCAGTGTGGTGGATTTGATTTACATCCAAGATCATCTGCTTGAACCCCCTTCCGTTTCCGGCCACTTAGCGGGTCTTATTTCCGGCTGATTTTCATCGCCCTGGAGGATATTATTAGGCCCTTTGAAAAAATGTAAGGTATATATTGAACATTGAAAAAGGAAAGAAAGAAAAGAAAGAGGCTCGAGAAGATTCTTACCGCAAGCAAGAAGTAACTAGCCTCAACTTTGGTATGTATTGTATTTGCTTCAATAAGATGTGTCGTGTTGATGTCTCAAGCAGGACAGGAGCGAAAGCTTAGCAATGTTCATTTTAAAACTTTTCTCACTTTAAAAGTACCCACGACCCATGTTCTCTTTAATTTCGTAGTCAGAATTCTATTTTGTCTTCTTGTTTCGGACAAGAGGTCGAATAACAAGGCGTGGAATAATTCATGCAGTGAAACGTTTAGTGGCATCTGGAAATTTCAACGCTTAAAGAGGTGCTTGACTTTTCTTGGTAAAGCAGGTTCAGGAGGTTTCGGTGTTAGTGGACCGATGCCAAAACTAATTTTTGTCTAATGTCGACTCTCGGTTGTTTTTAAATCCCTTTAATAAGACTCCGCATGGCTTCGCTTATGAGACTAGCTCACTGACTAATAAAGGAAAAAATGCCAGTAAATTTAAAACCAAAATCCCTCCCGGAGAGATCAAAGAAATTGGATCAAAATTAAATGTAAGCTAGATATACATGTATACGTATAACTGGGTTGTCCCACGCTGATGGCCTCGAGTTTTGATTTTCCCCACATCTAGAAGACTAAATTATCAAATTCTTTAAAGTAAATAACAAAATGAATATAGATGAAGGAACAAGTTAATACGAAGAAAACTCCAGAAAGTAATCTCAGGTTTTAAAGGAGCTTCTTTGTGGAGAAGAAAAGGGATGAAAAAGGATAAAACAGATTGGATATATTGTAAACCCGATACAACGTTGTCTGGTTTTAACTCAGAACTCAAAACTTGTTTTCTCTCCTGCATCCGGGATAAAAGTCTTATTGTCTATTCAATTTTTGTCCAAGCTTTGACGCATTATAAAACTCATCTATTTAGGATGTTCTTTAACAGGGTAATTTGGTATTATTAACTGAGTTGATAAGGTAAATTGGCAACCGGAAAAAGGTTTAAAGATAACGTTTCGAGCGTTAGTCCTTCGTCATTCGCTCTGACCATGAAGGGCTAACGCTCGAAACGTCAGCTTTGAAACTCCCTGTGGAGGCCAATTTATGTCATCAACTGAGTTGATAATACTAAACTGCCCTGTTATAATCTCCCACCGACGCAGCACCACAGTTTCTTTGGAAACTTGTCCCCTTTATTAATGTTATTTTACAGTCCTGGTTCTTGTTAGTCCTTTGAACTTAACTTATCATTAAAAAGCTAAACAATTTCGTTTTAGTCAAAATATCCAGTTCAAAAATCACGACAAAAGCAGGAGGTAGTATTAACTAATTAAATTTTGACACTCATCTCGATTCATTGGTGTAATAGGTTTAGTCTTTCATGGATTTTATTTTCATCATTAACGTTGCAATACATGGCAATTTCAAGCCGATTCGCGCCAAATTGGCGCTGCAGACATAAAAGCTTTAGTCTAATGACTACAAAGAGCGCAGAAGAACCCTCGGTAAATTTAGGAAAAATTTTGTACCGTGGAAAAACTCAATCGAAGCATCCAATTTCTTTGAATTGTTTTTATTTCAACAGGCTTCTGCTAGCCGCCCACGTTAAAGCAGGAAAAAAGGATTGAGGATTGTTAGGCAATTTGTGTCATCAAGGCAACGCAGAATGGTCTAGAATATTACACTTCATTAACGAAGTAAGCCATTTCAATAGTGCAGGGCGAGACATAGAGAGAATTAACATCAGAGTTTGCTTGAGAACAGTAATCTGCATTCTTCTTAGCGACTTAAAATTGCGTATGCTGGAGCTAAGATGCTAATGTGCGGGATTTCCTTTAAAATACGTTCAAACCTGATCCGTAGTCAGTTCTTCTTTGGCTGGTTTACTTACTGTTTTGCCCTCTTTATTAAGAAGGCTACACGACGTGCTGGATGGTAAAGTCTGTACGAACACAAAACAGGAGATTCCTATCAATTGTGTTTCAACCGGTCAAGGTCAAGCTTGATTAAGCCCGACTTCCCTTGTATTTCAAGAGAGCAGAAAAAAGCTCAATTCATCTTTTGTTTTTCTTGCTCGGTTTCAACTGGATCACAAGTATCATAAACCACAAAGAGGAAGTTGCTGGAGGTGTGTAAGTAATGAAAACATTTATTTAAGGCTTTCCTCGTACCTAGTACCAAAAAATTTTCGGTTCGCTCGATACCGCGACTTAGATCCGTCTGAGTTTGAGTAAGATACAAAACGTGCGCCAAAAAATAGTCATCATTTTTTATTTTCCATTTCAATAATAACAAATAAAAAATTAATCTACTGCATTATGAAAAGAGGGCGAGGAGACCACAAGAAGACACCGGGCTTATGGAAGAGGTCACCTCACTTACAACAATGTTTGTGCAACAATATAACTGCGAATGTGCGGTTTGGCAAATTCAGTGATTATTTAGGTAAAAACTCTTACAATTTCGTCTTAAAACTAAAAAGACTTGACGAACGAGTGGCTGAAACAGGATGAGATCCACATTTTAGGACTTTGGTCCTAAAATACTTATGTGAAACAAAAAATGCTTATGCCTGAGCTGCGGATTAACGTTATATTTAGGTCGGTCTTTTTTCCTCGTCCCCACCCCCACCATACCTCCCCGAGGCCTCAAAGAGAGATTCTGCCGCCTCAAAGAAGAGAGCAGAGCTTCGATTGAGCAAAGCCTTAAGCCATTAATTTCGAAGTACACACATTCTTGACATCCTCATATCTAGTTCCAAACTAAATTTTGTCTTTATAATGTTGCCAGTCGAGGAATATAAAGACGTCGAAGGTTTATCAATTAGTTTAGTAAAATAATGTCAGTATATACTCACTGGATGATTTTATGTCGGTTCCGTGACTCGCTAATAGCGAGGAAGTCGTAACTTTAGGCTAGCCTTTTGTCTGGTGGTTTTATAAAGCGCTAAATAGGGACAATTGTTTGTGGCTTGCATTGCCACAATTGTTCACACTGTTTTACCACATCTTGAAGAAAACAGGAACTTCTAGAAAGCAACTACTTCCGAGGATTTTCAAAAAAATACGCTTTTGAAACGTGGCCCCCTCTAATTCATTTAAAAGACTTTGAAATTTCAAATATACATGATGTGAGGTTAAAATTTGATTTGAAAATTTATAGCGCGTCAGGTTAACGATTTATCAGAAACCGTGTTTTGACCTCGAGTTACGATGAGCGGTAAAAGTCTTGGCACGCTCTACTACTTTGTGATTTTTTCCACTGCAACTTTCATTTATCTTCCCCTCTCCCCATTTCAGTGTTGCCTGATGTTAACAAAATTCTGACTAATTTCAGGCATCATTGTTTGGAGGAAAACTGGGGTCTTTCAGGTAACCTATTAATAGAATGAATGATAAGATTTCTCAGGTTGTATTACATTGAGTGGAAAGTTTTTGACCACCAAATAAGGAGCGACGTGCAACTATTTTTGCCACTCATTGTAGTCTACTGCAAAAGGGCGCCTCCCGGTCGAGGTTAATTGCAACCTCTTCTATAACTTTGGCTGCCTACCAACGGAGAAGGCTAGAAATATATAGAATAGCCACGTCATATCCTTACCCTGATTAAGGAAATACCTCTGATCTTTAACGCAGTCTTTGAATTATGGAAAGTTTTGATGAAAGTTCCTTTCACTTAAATCTTCTTGAAGAACTAATTCTGTGTCGTTGCCTTAGTTCCTTGTGATCTTTGTTTTCGTTTCAGACGGGAAAGATTTCACTGGTGAATTTGATGTTATCGACGTGACCCAACAGAGTACACGTGCTGAGAAGGGTTACAGAAGTATTTGCATGTCCATGCAGCACGGCTTTCACCACTTACTTCAAAAACTAAGCTGAAAGCCTCTAATCTTGTAAAACAAACATGCGGAAAGTTTTTTATGAATTAATTGAGTACTTTTACATGGGGCATAATTAATTTTTCTTTTTCAGGGTCATCTGCGCAACTGATCCCGACAAGGAAAGCCTGAGTCATGGTCTCAGTTTGTGGAACTAACTAGATTACCGAGCAAGGAGCGCGGGCTCATTTCCTGAACAGCGGGTGATAATTGAGCCTATCTGTGAAGAACACAGCGGTCAAACGTTGGGCATGCGCGAGGGGATCAGTTTGGGGCGTCCGCGCACCATTTTCTCAAGAAGTGTTTTTAAGGAATACTTGTGGAACAATTGCTGTCTCGCAAAATAAGCAAAAGAAAATTGAAAAGTTCATAGTAACCTGAAAGAGGAAACATGAGTAGGGTGAAGCAAAACTCGAGGCTTTTCGAACACGAAGCTTATTCAAGTACGAGTATTCTGTTGATTTACCATTCTGGTTTGAGCTTTCCCAAAAAACTATACTTTCTAAAACACCGTGACTTACTAGCTTGTGTGGTTATTGCAATTTTTGTGAGACAACTTGGTTCTGACAGCCTGGAAGCACGTTACCCAGCCACTACAACAATCAAAAATGCGCAGGCGTTTAACCGCTCTGTTTCCTATTAAGACACTCGCCAAAGCAGCAAATGAGATAAAACGCAGTCTATGACTGCATGTATTTACTGTTGTACAGTTGTTGAGTAATGTGGTAGGAACGCAATGTAATTTAAAATGCAAAGGGGTCAATGAACAGCACTTTTCGATGCAAAAACTGCGACAAAAGGAGGACTTGGTTGGAACAGAGTTTGTACACTGGTCAACTGACAAACCGAGGATAGGGCAAGAAATTCAATAAAGAAGGTACATGTAAAAAATGTTCATCAAATGTTTTTTTTATACAAAACTTTGCCTCTTCGTGCATAACACATTCATGGATAGTTGAACAAAGTTACTCAGTAGTGGTGTTGGCCCCTCGCCACCATTTTTCGCGAGACCAGAAATGTTAATGAATTCATAGTATGTATTGTACTATATATATATGTATGTACTACATATATAAAACGGTAAAAACGAACGATAAAATCCGACGTTTCGGAGTAGTCATGACTCCATTATCAAGGTAAAAGTTTAAAACATGCAAATAACAGTATTTAAGCGATGTGGCGCGAAAAATTAACATAATATAGATTATAGATTATACAAATACTTTCGCACGAATAGAGCCCGATTGCAAGTTCAGGTTTAGCTTTAAAGTTCTTATATGAAGCATTTCGTACAATAAGCAGTCAAATTTGTTCCTGCACTTCTTAAGAACTTCGAAGCATTTCAGTAGGTCCTGAGGGATCGTCCCGTGTACGTTCTTGCAATGTTTGGCAATGGCTGAGGACTGTTGTTTATGTCCTTTTACACGATTGTGTAAATGTCCGCGTGTGTATCCTATATAACCTGCATCGCACAGGTTACAGCACACATCAGCCGAAAAATTGATCAAGAATTGAATGTGAAAGAAGCAAAGCCATCGATCGTAAATGAACAGTGTGTTGTTTATAAATACCAATGTGACCTGTGCCATGCAGGTTATATTATTATGTTAATTTTTCGCGCCACATCGCTTAAATACTGTTATTTGCATGTTTTAAACTTTACCTTGATAATGGAGTCATGACTACTCCGAAACGTCGGATTTTATCGTTCGTTTTTACCGTTTTATCTTTTAAGAAATCTCTTTTAATACTACATATACGGTTATGATTGTCACGAGTCATGTGACCAAGTTACACGCCAGAGTAATTTGTAGGTCAGGCAGGATGTTATTTGGATGGGAGAAGGAAAACAAAACAACAGGTTTTTTTTACTCAAACGGGTTTAATGCTAGAAAAAAATCCTTTAATCACAAGTGGGACGTGTACTCTTCCCTAATGAACAGCGCTTAGCACATCATTAACAGAGGAAAAAAAGAACGTTCGTGAAGTTTTGACAAATCATTCAACATGGCTACCATTTCTATATCCTCGGGTGTCAAACGTTCATAGCCAAAGGGGATACCCCCCTTTCCCTCTGTTTGATTGGTTGTGACTGTGGTCACGTAAATTCTTTGACCGATGAGAAAGCAGGATTTCACCCATGTGACCAAAAAATTGGTCGACTTGAAACTTTGTTAACGTTACAAAATCACGCAACGCTTCTGATAGGTGTCACGGTAAGGAAAACTTCACGCACGAGTGTCACCCAAAGTCATTTTTACAACTGTATAATCCCAAAAGTTCCTGGTTTACAATTTGGGTCGTGAGCTGAAGTCCAAACATTGAATATTTAACTTTTCAAGCTACTGTCTCAGTTGTTTCACTTGTATGTCTTTCTATCCTGTCTTGTTGGTGTTCGTTGAGACAGCTTGGAGTGTGATGATTTTTTTGTTGTTGTTGCTTGTGTGCGGTTTTCTCAAGTTCATATAAATGTTCTCTCGTTTCCAACTCCATCTACACCTGTCAAAATGCAACTGAACTCTCTCGTGCCCCTGACTCGCTTATATGGTAATACCATTTTACATCAACAAACTAGTCATAAACCGGTCTGAGGGCATGGGTTGGACTCATTTGACGACGTTGGATTAAGGATACGCTCGCCTTATTTGGTCATGAAAGGCTGTTTGGTCATTTTTTTTTGTTTCGCTGTTTCATTATCAAACTAGTCACAAACCGGTTTGACGGCGTTCTCTCCCTTAACCGTGATTGGTTCTCTTACACCATGAACTAGCTCACTTGTATCCCTTGTCACTTGTTGCTGACCGAGGCGAGGAGGAGATATCAAGAAGATGGAGGTTCTGCAAGTGCAAGAAGTCATGACGAACGAAGAAATGACGGGAACTATGGATGATTACGACTTGAACACTTATCCACCCGCCAAATATCGTGCGACATGTAAAAAGAGCGGGAAGAGGAACATGAAAGGGCCATGGAGAAGGAGCGCGCCAACAAGAAAAGCAAGCGGACAGCAAGAAGAATGAAGGTGAGGCACAAGATAAAATTACTGAATGGTTGATATCTGCCCAAAAGAAAGTCGTATTCAAGGAGACCGTGGAAATATGTTAATCCTATAAAAAGAGGAACATTAAAAAAGAAGAGGACAAGAGAGGCGATAGTGGAAAGTGTGGATGGAAGAGGTTCACCGTTTTACCTAAAACGTCGTCTTCAAAAATTACGCAGACAACAGAAATATCTAATCAAAAAGAACTTATACCCAAACAAAGAAAGGTATCTACCCGTGAGAAAAACACAGAACCGTGTGAACTGATTGTGACATTTTTGTGATGTTAAATTTTCAGAAGAATACATTCCGCTGTAAGATATCGATACCAATGATTTATTAAGAGATCTGGGTTTTGAAGTGATAGAGGAAGGATAACTACTGACAACAAAAACAAAAATTACCAACCATTGAAACTCTTGGAGCTTTGAAAAAAACAGGAGCCCTTGGAATGTTTTATCCACGATTGCAAGCTCGAGAAATGTACTTCCCAAAGTGGTTGGGACTATGTGAAGTGTCCTATGTCCGATTGTTTCATCTTCATGGGACTCAGTAAAATTCATCACTATCTGAAGAATGTCCAGGATCAAACCCAGGCCGGGTACAAATGGGATAAGGAGAAACTCAAATGCTTTTGTTCAGAACCATTAGTGTTGTGCGAATGGAGATCGGAACACAATCCTGGCAGGATTTATTTTAAATGTCCAGGAAACCGATGCTTTCTTCTAGTGGGGATGCGAGGTGCCCAGTGGTACAAACATAGTATGGATGAACAACACAGAGTATTAAGGAATACCGTACGTCACGCCTATTCCTACCACAGGGTATTCTTGGAAAAATATGTTGTAGGATCAAATAGAAACCTATCCTAAGTTTACCACGACAAGCACTACAAAGGAGATAGTTTGCCCTTTGGGTTGTAACTTGTACTGCATTCAGAGAATTTCGATGCTAAATAGTATCAATCATACCTGTTCGTATATAAATGTATAAACGAGCATTGATTAACGCTAGTCCACGATTTTAGGTAACCCTAACGTTTTCATCTCTCTTGTTGAGAATGTTAAGAAGTAAACTTTTAGTACGTGGTAAAGAATTATAAAATAATTCAAATAGGACGCGCGCTCTGATTGGCCATAAAACCATTTTACATGAGCGTATGTAAACACGGTTTTCGTTCCTCTTTCATACGTTACTTTATAAAAGAAATGTAAAATGGTTTCCGTGTTTACATAGCCTAATGTAAACACTTGGGAGGTTACGCTTATCTCGTGTTCTCCCAACCTCCCGCGTGTTTACATCAGGCTGTGTAAACACGGAAACCATTTTACATTTCTTCAATATAAAAATAAAAACAACTGGGGCCAGAGTATTTGCCAACTCTACACCAGTAAGTGTAAGCTAAAACAATTTGTTAAAAAGAGATGTAATACCATTGACGTTGATTTTTAGTCTTGATTAACTGTTATCGTTGATTTTTAGTATTAATCAACTTTGAAAGCGTGTTTGACTGTAAAAATGTCCTTAGCAACAATATGTAATAATGTTGTTGTGAGGGATACCCTATCCCCCGACTTCTCATTGGTCCATAACCACGTGGCATGTCACTTTAGGGATACCAACCATTGTCTATCCTTTTGTGAATACCAGTTTTTAATGGGTTAACATATAACACATTGGTCACATGAGTGAAATCCTGCTTTTGTCATCGGTCAAAGCATTTACGTGACCACAGTCAAAACCAATCAAACAGAGGGAAGGGGGGTATCCCCTTTGGCTACGAACGTTTGACACCCGAGGATATAGAAATGGTAGCCATGTTGACTGATTTGTGAGAACTTCATGAATGATCATAACTTTGTTCAACTGGCTATGAATATATTAACTAACTGAAGAAACTGTAAGCATTTGATAAGAAAGGAAAAAGAGAACGTCAAGTCGTGTGGTAATTGGTTCAGCAGTTTTAGGTTGAACATGTCTGTTTGGTTTTTCGTGTTTCTTTACGAGAAAACCATCTTTAAGTTATTTGGTTTCTAAACTTTTTCAAACAGCTTCAAAACAGGTTTGACCGGTTGAAAAAGCATGGCTGGATCGTTTTGGAAGTTTTCGAACAATGACCAGCCGTGACACTCTCTGAACACAATTACAAAATGGCGAGTTTCTCATGTTCTTTCGAAGCTAACCTGTGGTGCAGACGTCTTACTAGAGCGAGTTGACGTTACAAGCTCGCGATCGCTTTTTTGACTGGCCATCTTTGATTTAGAGTTAGGATGAACGGTGGTGGGAGGGGGAGGGGGAGGGGGAGGGGGCGGGGAAAGGCGAGAGGACCCACCCCTCCCGTTTTCCTCCTTATGACCGTCGCTCACCTTTTGGGTCCAATTTTCTTTCTCTACCCAGCTTTCCGCTACTGTTTAAATCAAAGATGGCAGCTGTGATATTCACCCGGAAAATGCTCAGCACTCGCTCGCCAAAATTGCGCCTGCTCCGCGGGCTACTCTCAACGCGCTTTATATGTTTAAAGTAGAGGGATTTATCTGCGTGCAATCGGAGAAAGAAAAGGATCTTAATAATTAAAAATCCCACCTGGTGAGAGGCAAACAAGTTGCTTATTAGTTTAATTATTTACGTCCAAAGGATGAGTCAGTTTGTTTGTCATGTTAACATGTTTTAACACTTTTCATTCCTCTACCTGCTAATTGTGGCAGGCGTTATCGTGTTTTCACAACCTGAATGGATATCATAATCCAGCCCTTTCAATGAAATCCTTAGATTTAGTCATCTGGCACGGGAGCAGCTGAAGATCCTTGTGAAACTACTTACAAAGATGCCCGATTATACTTATACTACGTACCATAAAGTTTCTACTTCGCTACCCTAACCATATCCTGTAAAGGCTGTAGTCCTCCCGTTCCGCCGGCTATTACTTCAACATGCAGAATTTTTCTCTAAACAGGTTACATACAAGTTAGCAACTGGCTCCCAGAGGGCATTTATAGAAGGTTCCATAATAAACGGGTTCGGGTTCTGATTATTTTTGAGGTGAAAAAACTCGATCAATTATTTCTTATTTCCACTTCGGTTTTCCAGATGTGAGGAAAAAAAACATGCGGTTTCTGTAGTGATCTTCTCCGTCTAACCATAATCTCTTTTGCTGCGGTAAATTAAGCACCGAAGATTTAAAAGTTGCCTCATGTTTACTTTGTGCATAGATTTGATGTACTCAAGCGATGATGTTCAGCACTTTTAACTTATTGGTTTTAAAGTGCTCTATACTTTACCATATTTTACATGGAGACGGACAAACTCTTCCTTCTAGTCGTCACTCTACGCACCGATTCATCAATTTTGTCAAGCACAGTTTCAACTACTTAAATGCGACGAAAATATCCAACAAATTAGCTGTGAGAAGTTTCGACGAGTGTGGCATTCAGTGTGTACGAACCTCGACTTGCCTTTCTGTGAATATGGCAAGTTCTTCTGACGACAATGGAGTGTACTGGTGCGAAATACTTGCTTCTGACAAATACATGTCTTCAGAAAGTTTTAAACCAAGCCCAAATTCGCATCACGTTCAAAACGGCTGAAAGATTTTCTAAGAAAACGAACGGTGAGAAAGCTTGGCTTCTTTTATTCAGACTCAACCAAAAAAAATATCAATTTTAATCAAGTGAAAAATAATTTAAGATCGTCTAGCACAAAGTAAGTCAGCGATGGGAGGCCTGTGGCTCGAGGGAGCGGAGAATGAACAGTGCAGTTACAAAACAAATTAGATACTTTGGTTTAATCAACTGAGTTGATAACATCAATTGGCTAACGTGAAGAGTTTCTAGGCAGACGTTTCGATCGTTACCCTTCGTCAAAGCGATTGACGAAGGGCTAACGATCGAAACGCCAGCTTTTAAACTCTTCACGGTGACCAATTTACATTATCAACTCAGTTAAAAAAAACAAATTATCTTGTTATACCTCCCCAACGACGCAGTAGCACAGTTTCTCTACAAACTTACCCTTTACAAAACAAATTAGTTAAGTCCGAGGTGGAAAACATGCAAAATATCTACGCGTACAAATAAGCCAGGAGTTAGCGACTCATCCCCTCTTATGACAATAGACATAACATTTTGGCCAGCCCTTGTTTTGGAACTTACTGGTTAAGGTAAAGATAGATTTTCCACACGAATATTTTTGGCAATATAACTACCTCCCGATGTGCACTGTCCATGTGTAATTAAGATTTATCATTGTATTTGTTCAATTATCGCAGTGAATTAATTATTTGAACCATGGAAACAAAATTGCAGAGTGAAATGTCCCTTGCCGAAATGTTATTAGCTTCAGGGAAGGAGTTCCGAAAAAACAAAGAACAAACAAAAATTCAGAGATTAAATTGGAATTTAAACCAAGAATACTTGCAGTTGGAGCAGGTCAAGTTAGGGCCCCAATGTTCCCATTAAGCAGATGGATTTGAATCAATCAAAATAATGACAACAATAATAATGACAATAATATAAAAACACACTCACATCTGTAGAGTTGGACATGAAATTGAATGCTGTAATGATTCCCTCAGTGAAACCTGTAAGAGGTGCTTATGACTGAGGAAAACGATCCAATGGTGTAAGATGTATACCAAAAATATAGATTTGAAGTTTAATTTTATCCTATTGAGGAAAAACTAAAACAAGTTCGTTTCTTAAAATGAACTTCAGAATCTGCCTCCCCTCCTCACTTTTCTTCCCAAGGTTTTTTTTTATCACTTGGAAATTTCCGTGTCACAATTATCGTCTCAAGCAAGTGGAGAGCTAATGCAAGGGATCATCTGCCATCTTTCCATTCTTTTTCTCTCAGACGCCATGCATAAAGGACCCCTGTGTCGGTCTGCAAACGTGCGTTCCAAACTACAACGACGGAAGCTACAAATGCCGATGTCTGCGAGTCGGTTTTTCGGGTGATTACTGCCAAGGTATTTCCATTTTCTAGATTTCGCTTAAAACGTTGTGACCACCTCAACCTCGAAGAGGAGGAGATTAGCGTGGGAGGGGGGGGGGGGAGAAGGGGCTTGCAAAAGGGGAAAGAAGGGAAGTATGGGAGAAGGGCCTTATGAGAAAAGGGAGGTGCTCTCTAAAGAAAATGAGGGTCGTGTTTTCTTTTTTTAAATCTCGCCCAGCTTGGATAAATACATCCTTTCTAGGGTTAGCCTTCAAATACAGGCTTTCAAATACAGGCTTTCAAATACATATACATGTCTTTCACTGAAACGATTCTATTTTTCTTCGCCAGCAGTCTTTTGAATTTACACGCAATTGTATTGTACAAAACTTACAAAATGGAAGAAGCAAAATGCAATAATTATAATAAACATTTAAATTACTGTTACGCGATGGAAGTAAGAGGGAGGGGTTTCTATCCACCCCCACCCCCACTCCCGATAGTTGTGTGTTAGTTAACTTGTCAGTCGAAACAATCCCTGACTCTTCGACTTAGTGTTTTTTCATACTTAAATCGAATTGCAGAATGTGACACGACAAATGGATGGAGACGGTTCAACATATCTTGCTATAAGTTTTTTAGCGAAGTGGCTAAGTGGAAAGAGGCGAAGAAGCGTTGCGCAGACATTGGATCAATTTTAGTTCCAATTCATTCCGTCAATGAAAATGATTTCATATCCTCCCTGCTTCCCGATGCAGAAACCACTGCATGGATTGGAGCAAACGACATGGGTACGGAGGGGAACTGGGTCTGGGTGGACAGGAAAAACTGGGGCGAGTATGAAAACTGGTCTGGAAACAATCCCAATGGCGACGTCAGAGAAAACTGCGCGCTGATACAATCTGGACGGTGGAATGATGTATCCTGCGGTTTGAGACGTTACTATGTTTGTAAAACGAAAAATTAAAAGCAGTTCTCTCAACGAATGGCAACATGATCAGCTGCTTATCGTCAGGACTAAGAAGATCCCTCTACTTTCCTTTCAGTGAGGTCAGCCATCATGGTTGTTTGTGGTTTTAGCCGACCTCACATATCGTAATTTATCAATACTGTCATTTATCTATATCAGGCTCAAAGCACTTAGGAATGCTTGCACATTTTGATAGGCACGTCGTGATATGCCCTTCGTTCGTGGGGCTACGGATGAGATGCTTCAGTTCTATAATCTTAAAATCGAAGCCTTCACGGCTCAAAACTGCTAAACGGTGGTGTGAAATAGGAGAACATCACTTCCCTTAAACAGGATGTTTACATCTACATTCAAGGCCGCCAACGAGTTTCCTTAGCCTTTGAACCCGTTTATCGAGTGGTTTCCAGAGGGATTAAAAATATATCAATTAATGAAATTCAATTATCTTCGGAGGCTTAGTTGAGTGTCATTTGCGAGAAGTCATGCAATGAAATTCCAATTGCACAAGTCACTCACATAGCTTCGGCATTTACATCGTTTTTCTTGACTTCAATTTTCAATAATTATATGATCAACATGTTAGCTTATTTCTCTTTATAGATAGAAGAATATCCTCTTGTATTAATTGCTTCTCATATTTCCCAACTGATTTGGATCTCAAAGCGATTCGGCGTTGTCTTGGTTAAGTTTGTCTGTCGTATAGCGGAGCTTCAATATGCAGTGGATAATCTGCACCTTGCGTGCAAGCTTCGGTTGAAAACAGATTGCCTTTCACTAAAACAAAGTATTCCTTGTTTTTCAAGGTCAGCGGTTAACACAAATCCTTTATTATTCCCTTTCAACGCAGCGACGAATACAACTTAACACGGAAGTGGAAGGAAGAGAGATTATTCAAAAGTTCATCATTACATGTTTGTAGTGTTGAGCACCCAACGAGAACCAAGGTTTTAAAGAGGAAACCTGACGTAAACGTGTTCGGTTTACTCTTATCAGTGTTTTGTTGCTTTCCCAGCTTATTCTCGCATCTACAACAAATGACGTTTATTCAGTAGTCGTAGAGAATTTCCTTCTTCTTTTAACCCGTCGATAATCAAAACTGGTTACAACTGAAGCTTTCTGTCTCAAATACACTCTGGTGAAACACATCCTGCATAACACAAGAATGGGAAAATGGTGTTAATGTAACAATGATAGCAGGATTACTGGCTTTGATTCAGTTTGCAGGACTTGAATGAAACATATAAACCTGAAACTTCATTTGCAGAGAGATAAATGTCGTTTAGCTGCGAAACTAGAAAAGCTGTCTATTCTTGTACATTGCTCATTAAGCAGCACAGAGGGGGTTTTGTCTGAATGTACTGCAGTCACGCAAAAGGTTTTCGCAGACAGACTTCAGACAAAATGGAAAACAGAAAAAGGAGTTCTAATTCTCCATTCTTGGAGAAAATAAGGAAAGCGACATCTAGACAGCTCGATGGCAGCTGTATGAATGTGACCAGATTAAAGAACCACTATTCATGCAAGAGGCAAATGGCACGAATTCACTTTTTTTTTTGTCTGCATGCCTATGCAGCTGTGTGTTTGACGAAGTTAGCATATTTGCAGCTGTTGCCGATGGTACCCTTTTTTGAAAGCAATTCTTTGTTCCATGAATTGAAGCAACAAAATATCGTACGTGAAATTAGAACTGAGTGAGCTCTGTCGTTCATGTTTTGCTTAGACGTGTAAAATCCATCTTATGGAGTTTCTATGTGCAAGAGCTTGGTGCTTTCTCGGACTTTCCGGATATTTTTTATCGGCATCAGAATGCAGCCGCTTTTAAGTTTTGTCATACTCTCACGTCCTTATCAAATTATCTCGTTAGCACTTAAGGTTGTGAATTACAGAGGAAATCCGTCTGAGACACAGTAATTAGCCCAAACTCAAAATGTTGCTTTTTCGTGGAAGGCGTGAGAAAATCGGCCGCCCACGCTGACTTTTCTAGATGCAAAAAGCTTCAATCTGACATTAAAAACTTCTTCAGAGTTCCCGTTAAGCAATAAATATACAAACAAAGCAATTAAGTTTCCTTCAACTCGTTAGACTGTGATTTCATGAATGCCTCTCAGACTGAACAGACACACAAAAAAAGTAAAAGTACTTTTACTGACATTCAGGCGGTGTAATCTTTCTCATACAGGATAAGTATCATTGTTGCAAAGTGATCATGTGATCAGTGGCAAACTCAAATACAGATCAAAACTAGCAAAAAGGGGTCTGTGAGATATGTGCTATGATTGTAACTTACACATGCTCTAAGGCTGAACAGAGTTAAAGCCAGAAAAAACTGAACTGAGTTTTTTCCTCTTTATGGTAATTTCCCTCGAGTTGACTGGTCTCAAGCGTTCGCGCGCTCAGCCAGTAATTAAGCACGATGGAATTAGAGAGCAAAAGAAGCCTTAAAAAACAAACAAAAATATCCCGTTAGCTCTTCCTCTATTAATGTTTAAACTTTCCTAAGGATTTCGTGTATACGTGATAAACGATCTCTCAAATTTATCCTTTACAACTTTACAAGGAGCCGGAACAGTCTTTGGCTCAATCTATCAAGTAAAAAAAAAAATTTAAAAAAAAAAAGATAAGATAATTAGAAATTAAATCACATCTTCTCTAATTTTCCCGACAGTATGTCTCTTGTCAAATTATTTAAGTCTACTTTCCCTAATTAGGCCACTTTACCATGTTAGGGCAACGGAAAGCGCAAAATATGTCACGGTGTTACGCTTAGGAACAGGCGAAGAATATGGACGGAGGGAGAAGCACTGATTAAAATGGCCCCACTAAACTATCCAGACTTTGGATAAGGTTTGACTTTTAGAGCAACTGACTTTTAAGCTCGGCAGATTTTTTTTTTTTGTCAGTCGAAGGAAATTCTTCAATGGTTTTGCTAGTCTTGTTTTCGTCTTTCATGCAGGCAGGATGCGATTGATTATCAATATTCTCAAATAAACCGTAGGATTTATTTCGAAAACTAGAAAACTGGAAAATGATGTAATCATGGAATAATAAATTCCTTATGCAATGTTTTAACTTATAATACTAGCGGAAATTTTGCTCATTTGCTAGTAATTTCCCTCACCCCTACGGGGGTTCGAAAAAATATTGCGCAACTCGCAAATTATCTGGCCATATTAAATGTCAAATGATCGAATAAGGTATACGCAAAAGTCGTAAAAGTTACAAATTTTTTGTTCTATTGAATATTTTATGGCTAGACATGGTTTGAAACTTTACTTTTAGATTTGTGTATGTGGATGGTATGTTTTCAAACCTGCTCTTACCGACTTTGAATTACAGGTGATGATGAAGATGTGACAAGGGTTTATGATCTCTTGTGATGAGGTTTGAGTCGCCAGGTCGTGAGATGTAGAACTGACAACACAGCACCGCCCCAAAAAGTGAAACTATCTCTAAACTTTCCTTTTTAATAAAACAATACAGCCTAAGCCGGCATTAATACATTTTGGGTCCTTTTCGTAGTCATTTTAGCCCAAGCCGTTAGGCGAGGATTTAAATGATATTACGAAGGGTCAAAAACATATTTATGTTTTTTTATATTATTATCACTTCGAAGGGCATTGAGAAAGTATAAATTGATTAAATGACAACAAAACAGTCTGAACAATCACGCGAGCTTGCGAGAGGGCTTAAATGCAATTAAGCCCGTCAAAATCTCCATTTTAGACCACGCGATGCACCACAATTCCCGACAAAGTAAAAACATTAATCATTTTCTAAAAGTCTCAGTAACTTTTAACCCTTTAACTCCCATGAGTGACCAAGACAGAACTTCTCGTTGTAATATCAATACAATATCAAGCAGACAAGTGATGAGAATAAAGAAAAATATTAATTAGGGGATTATTACTTGATCCAATACCAAATTCTCCAAACTAACATCATTAGAACTATACGGCAGACATTTACGAGAATTACCAATGAGATCCTGAGAGTTAAAGGTTTAAATATCCCTAGCGATTTCTGTATATTCTAGCTCATTTAAGTTTGTCATCCGTGTTCTTTTTCTCCATTTTTTTTTCCTCCCTCAGTCGGGGACTAGTTGTATACCTTCTTCATATATTCTCGTCTCAATGATTTAAAAAAACGTTCTTTGATATTTTACCCTAAATCAGTTATCATGTCGCAAATAAGAAGACGACTCAAATATCATCGCTTACCCCTTTTGATTTATTTACTTCCCAGATCTCAAAGTTAATTCTCCCAATCAGCAGCTATACGTTTCTTTGTCAGCTGGTCCTGAAGAATTTAGTGCTGTATCACCAAATTACCGATTGATAATTTTCTTAATTTCTCACCACCTGTCTGCTTTAGAGTGTATTAAAATTGTTAGGAGAACTTCCATTTGATCCGATGTGAGAGTCAGATTTTAATCGGCTTTAAGTGTGCCAGTGCTTACTTCCCCAACAGACCTGATTAGCGGTCTCCACTGTCTCTCGTAACGAGATAAGAAGTCCAAGGAAGAATTATGTGTTTGATCCGGATTATTCGTCTAGGAAGAGATTCACTTCCTAGACGACTTAAAAACATCGATGATCTTTTGCTGACTAACGTTTTCTTCATAACTAGACGTAGTCTATGTGGGCTAGAATTACATGTGGGCCCTTTTGATCCGGATTATTCGTCTAGGAAGAGATTCACGATTTAAAAACATCCATGATCTTTTGCTGACTAACGTTTTCTTCATATCTAGACGTAGTCTATTTGGGCTAGAATTACATGTGGGCACGTTGTGTTGTTTGGCAGCATCAATACCCTAACTTGTAAATGGTCCTTTGATCGCGTGACTTAATTTCAGTATTTTTTCCATTATCATGGCAAATTTATATGTCGCGGAAATTTTATGTAGGGGTGAGGGTTTTTGTTTGATTTTCTCGTCAGCTCGGTCCTTTAAGGCGGTAAGGTTATATCTTGAAAGATTTGACGTAGATTATGCAATG